ATACAGAGGTAACGGAAATTGTCCACTGCTACCAATATTATATATTATATAATTGCAATAATATCAAATATGAAATATCAACAATCAGATATATAGTAAAATACAATTTAGTAAAATACAATTTTTATTTTCCACAGAAGAATCAATACATTTTGAATTACAAATATCCGATAATTCCATTAATAATCATTAAAAGTTGCTTTGTCATTTGTAAAATCAAAAACGAAAAGCCGTACGCTGAACGCGCGCAGCATTTTTTATGCAGCTGCCTAGCTTGTAGCCGCAAACATCAAAGCCGCCGCGCACGCCCAGTGCTTGGGGTATTCTCATTGACAATTAAATGTTTGGTCAGAGATATTTATATACAATTCCTAAATTAAATCAATAATCATGTTAATATGAGTATTCAAAACTACTCCATACTCGACAAAAAATATTTGCCGGCCTATCGACGATTCAGTTGCCGAAACAAAAATCAAATGTTTGCTTTTTCGTTTCGAGAACTGTTTGAACTCAGTACTATATCCGACTAATCATACTTTATAATGGTTAAAAAACAAAGTAAAAAGATCTTCCTCGATGGGCCGGCATTCGCAACAGTACGACAAACGATGACACCACCACCAGCCCTTAATTGATAAGTCCATGGGTGACGGGATAAAGTTAAAGTAAGATGTGTAACTTCATATTGCCTATCACCTATCACCTAAGTTGCTTTGCATATACTGCTCCTAGTTACACGATAGCGATCTCAGTTCCCAATAACGTGTGACCCAACAGAATTGAAGGGATTTTGGAATGACACGTACATTTTTCATTAACACGTGCCCTGATTACCTCCTCCGTTGAGCTACTATACGGGGAACGTTAAGTTAAGGTGAACATTGGTACAAAAATATAATAATATAGCAGTTTATCTCAAAGTTAAAATCACTATTTGTTAAAGTATACAAACAGTTCTATTCAAAAGAACAAAGTCCGAGAGCAGAGAGAAGATTTGGAGACTATACACGCATGTGTGGGGTTTAAATTTGGTATTAGTAATTTTAGGGTTCGACCGAAAATGTTGGTCGGTTGGTTAATAGGGAGCAGTCACTGTCATTAGAATTATCAGATTAGGGGCAACAATTAGAATCAAATTGGACATATTGTGTATTGTGGCCCAGAAATCAGTGAAACCTAGAATGGCGGTAAAATGCTAGCGCGCCTTGTTATGCGCGCTAACATACTAGCTGCTGAAAATAAAGATAAAGATGTGTATCCATGATAATGTCGTTTGGCGGCAGCGCCTGCCGATCCTGGATTATATTGTGTTTAACTTAGAATTCAGTCATTTCATTCAGCACCATACCTGCACTGTTTTGGGCATTCATCAATGACTTTTGTAATTTATTCTTAACAGAAGAACAAGAGGAATTAAAATTAAATGAGCCAATTTTACAAAACTCGTTCCACAGCCACGCTGATTTATAGATAAATTGTTTAGTTGGAGAAGGTGTGATTAACATATTGTCTTTCCTATGAGATATGGTGAACATTGAAATTGGTACTCTTGTCTTAATTATCTTTAAAAATTCCATTAGGCAATGTAGTCTATATAGGTTCTCCACAGCTAGTAATTTATGTTTTGCAAATAGAGGTTTGGTAGACTCCTTAACATAAAAATCGCAACCCAAACGTTGGGAGCCAAACGGTCTAACTCTAGCACATGTTTTGAATTTGTCTACATACCTTTTATGGTCTCCGAATAGAATTCTTATACATTTCTTCTAGGTAATAAATAGTGGTTTTAACTGGATATTAGGAATACCTCCCCAGACAGAAATAGCAAAACCAAGATGTGATTCAAAGAGAGAATGGTAAATTTGTATAGTGATTCTGGTAAGCATTTTTTAATACGGTAGATACGTCCACATAACAAGCACTGCTTACTTTTTTGTTAAGAGATTGTATATACACATCTACTCCATCATAGGGGCAGGGATGAGGTTATAAGAGACTTTATTGAGAATTATGTAATGTAACGTGATGGAAATATTTTAAACGGGCATATCCTGTCCAAACCCAGATGCACTACATGAAGAATTCGTTGTAACTTTGTTTGAAAAGCATTAATAGAAACCCATCTATCCTGTCCATGTAATTGGTAAAGCTTATTTAAGGTTTATTCTAGATTGTTAAATTTTTGATTGTCAGGAAACTCGTACAATACATTACGGGTATATGACCCCCAGAATATAGGTGGCCCCCAAAATATAGGTCATGTTAGTGGATACAGTTCTAACCAAGATAAGCGATACTAATGGGATCTGTTACTGCTAGGTTGGAGTAAAACATGTAACTAATGTTTCTGGATAAGAATTTTGGACCTACATGAGGTATTTTGGTATATTTGGTCATGACAGCGAAAGATTTAAACGATGTTGTCATTTTCTAGAGGGGTAAATATGGCGAAAAATGGTCATGACAAAAATCTGTCCAACACATGCCATTAAGACTACTGGTATGAGTATGAGTATTATTTTAAGCTATCTTTTCATCGAGACATCTGCAAACTGACAATTTGGAAAAAAGTTATGGCCACCACAATTTTACGGTCCCCCAGAATATAGGTCTATACGACCCCCAGAATATATGTTGGTCAAAAACCCTGAACATGCCCAAAACCATGCTTTGGGATGCTCTACTTGTAGCTACTAGTCTCCTGAACACACATATTAAGTTTTATCAAAATTGGATAAAAATTGGCCGAGTTATGGGATAAAAACCATATGCCCCAAATTTGATCGATTTTGGTCCATAAATTAGTCAAATATCAATATTTTTGAATAAAACCAACTTTATATGGAAGGTAAGCCTATACTACACATTCTCTATGATTATCAGCTCAATATCTACCTAACTGTGGATTCTGTGTTCAAATAATCGCAAAAAATGAACAAAATCACCCATATCTCAGTTCGCGATATTTGCAAAACTGACTTCGCTCAAAACAATAGAACTCAATAGGGTTTCAATATTTTCACATGAAATTTTCAGAATCAACGTAGAATTGTCTCATGACCTTAAGTTTTGGGACAGAATTTTGAGTTAGGCCTTTAAAAAAATTTGGCGGCCAAAAATGTCTGATTTACAGTCATTGAGGTGCACATTGTATTGATACAGATAAAAACAGCCCCCCTCAATCATATCTAGGGACACTCCTTCAATCTTATTTGAGTATTTAGTTAAGATCCCTACTAAATGAGTGCATGAAAGCTTTTTAACTAGTAAAATTAAAGATTTTACTCATTACGGGTATATAAGTATATGGCCCCCAGAATATAGGTTTTTTAAAAAAATAGCGACCAAGATTCTGCATTTTCTCTGTCACCCTGAGCATTGAGGAATGTGGGGTAGTGATGAGAAACAGTTAAAGAACATATGCAGAAGAGATGGCATCATCAAAATGTTATGAAGATGGAGTATTTGAGGACGATTTTTGCATACCTATATTCTGGGGGCCTTAGTTTTTGGTTTTTTGCTATTAAGTATACTCTAAACCATTTCAATTTATTATCTGGAGCCATTGGCATCATTAATACAGTCTCAGCAACATATTCTGACTGCATATAACTGTCTGTGACAATTTTAGAAAAACTTAGGAACAGATGTTTGGACCTATATTCTGGGGGCCCTGTTAAAAAATGGTATTTTTACAGGTGAAAAAAAAGTACACTTAAAAACCTAATAATTATTTTCAACTACCTAAGAAACATTTAAAGGGTTATTATGTACATATTTACACCCTTAAACATGCTTAGAAGTAGTTTTAACACCTGTTTCTAAGTGCTCAAAAAGCGACCTGTAACCTTGCATTTTGCAAGTGATTTGATCTGTTATAAAACTACACAATAGTGTAATGCAACGTTGTATACTACACCGTTAAGTAATCCAGCCTGGGAACGCTGTAAAAGTATAAAGGCTGCAAATTTAGCGAATTGTTCAGCTTAATCGCAGTGATTTTACCCTCCAAAATTGCAGTACATAAAACAATTTTAGGCAGATGCAGGGTCAAACTATTTTCGGCACCTATATATTGCCTCTGGTACCGTCTGGGCAAAATTCACGACAAAAACGATTAGCTGAATTATTGTCCAAGACGCTCAAGGTCCCTTGAGATGAACTAAATGTTGGGGAACTGGAGCAGCTCTATAAAAGGGATAGCTGAGATCTCATGTCTCAACATTCAAACTCCACCTTGTTTTACTAGGAAAACAAGTTTTAAATTTTGGTATTTATTAATAACAATCAAAACATATCATACCATAAAAATAAGGCCTGTACATTTTATTACAAAAGTATCAAAGTGTTTAATTTGACTGCGCAGTTTAATCTTAAAATGTTCAAGCTCTGGTTATATTTGTTAGAGTTAGATATTAGGACGCAATGAAACTACCGGACCACGATGTATGGGTACTTGCCACCCCATGGAAACATTAAAATATATCGACTCTGTTACATCGTTTCTTCAAATTATTTGTTTTATACGGCCCCAACGTTAATGTGGCTCTTGCTATGTGTTGGTTCAGCCGAATTAATTATTATGTAATCAAGTTTTTTTTTCTCTTTTAGTTAGTTGTCATCCAGCCAAACATTAAGCAACTTATATTGCAGTACCATTTATCAATCAGTATATCAAAATATGTCATTGTAATTTTACATAGCTGAAATGTAACGCTTGATTTATATATATAATAATTAATTGAATTTTCAAATTTAAAAACAAATAGTAGTGTTGAAAGTATTAAAAAAATATATGTCTCTATATTTGAATTCCACTTTGTTTTATTTAATTCCAAAAATATCACAGTGATTAGTCTGACTACGCAGTAGCCAGAGCACAGTATTAATCTGCTTCTGAAGATATTTGGAATACAATGCAGCAAGTTCAGTGAAAGCTGAGGGAAGGCCAAATTCCGTGAGGAAAAATTCTCAAAATTGGTAAAAAGAATTGATAATTATTAAAAGTTTCATTGTAACACCAATGATTAAGAATATTACTTTTTAGGAATGGAAGATGGTGACTCGGTAACACTTACCAAAACTGAGAGAGTTATCAGATTATTCGACAAGCTCTTCATCAACTTATACATCAAACCCCTCGGAACATTCATTTATTTATTATGCCTTATATCTTTTATTGCCATCCTCAGTGCTCTTGCGTTTTTAATTCATCCGATTGAAATAGACTTCTCATTGAGTTCCCTGATTGTTCCTACGCATCATGCATCTCTGAAGCTTCAATCATACCTAGCTGCTAAACATGCCATGGCTAATGGCATGGAAGAGGGTTCCTTTGTCCGGGAAACCAGCAACAAAAGTAACTTTCATTCAATCAACAAGCGGTCGTATGCTTCGAATCCCTTCAAAGCTCCCCCTGGCTTGACATTCCAGACACCTTACTCTCAGACAGCTCTATATCCGTTCTGGACGTTAGACGTGGTGTTTGTTGCAGTGGGAAATAACTCCAATATGTTAACGGAGGACAGAGTTCAGTATGTTAAGTATGTGGAACAGGAGATTTCAGAACACAAAGATTACAGCAGGTTTGTTTGTACAGGGTACTAGGTAGTTAAAATATAGTAATGTTTCTAATATAGTCATGACAGTAAGTTTAATTACCTTTACTCACAGTATCAGTAAGTTTAATTATCTTTACTCACAGTATCAGTAAGTTTAATAATCTTTATTCACAATATCAGTAAGTTTAATTATCTTTACTCACAATATCAGTAAGTTTAATTATACTTATTACTTAATCACAATTATACCAATAAGTTTAATTATCTTAACAATACCGGTTAGTTGTTGACAAGGGATTTTTTTTCTAACGTTTTATTTTCACTACTCTATTTTGGCTCTAGTGCAGCTAATGAATGTTTAACGCAAGTAAGACATCATCAATATGTGATAATTTTGGAAATAATAAGGTACAATTTTCAATCTCAACTGGCGTAAAACAAGAACTTGTTGCAAAAATCAATAAATTAATGACATGCAACAAATTTATCCAAAAAAGATTAAAGTTCATTCAGCACTCGCATTATCACTATAGAAGTTGATATGGTGACTGAAAAAACACTACATAAAATTAAACAACATCAAAATAAGAGCAATTTTGGAGCAAAAAATTTAATTAATTTTGATGGTAATAACGTAACTTTTATTTGAAAAATAATAACTGAAAAATATTTGATCGGTAAAACTTATTATCAAGTAAAAATGGGATAGCAAAATTGCTGATTGGTAAAAATGTGAGTGCCTAAAGCTATGAGCGCAACGGTTATTTACACTTACCAAATTTCAGCCGGCAAAGTACATAATCATAATATAATAACAGTTAACATACGTGAAATACCTGTCCTGCACTCACTCAAAATCATAATGTACAAGTATACTAAAACTTAATAAACCTAATGAACACTTTAAACAATAAACAATAAGTATTATCTAGTGTCGTTTAGTAACCATACAATCAGTAACGTTGTAAACTATACACTTTTCTACAAACTCCCAGTCTGTAATGTCAGGTAACCATTTCTCCCTCCACTGCCACACACCTACCACAGTAACTATGTTAACAGCAGCTGTGTGTCCTGACAAAGAAGCATACCAGAACATTTCATATGCAGAGATGATATCATGGAAGTGTACTCCAGTGTCTATGTAATCCTCACTGTTTGTACACAGTTCTAATGTAAAGTTACCGTCTTCCATAGCTGTATCTCTCAAGATAAAACCACATTTACCTGTCTCTGTGCAGGTTCCTGTACCAGGGTGTTTAAAGGTAAACAGGCGTTTACTCTCCTTATATTCTGTTACTGTAATTTCTCTATCAAGTTTTATGATAAGGTTCTGATGACTTGTGGTGAGCTTATCATTACTCTTAATCTCATTGAGCATATTGATAATATCATCAGACTGTGCAAGATTGGAATAGTTTAAGGCAGCAATAATGGTATCTAAGTATTCGCCTGATATTTTTTGGAGCCTTTTGTTGCTGCAGAGGTTCTGAAGTGAAGTTGAAAATGTCATTGCCTCTTCTTTATCGGGTGTGTTTTTGTAGAAAACCCGAAGCAGTAGGTCGACAACCAGGAACATCGTTGTAACGCGATCTTCAGAAATTCCCTTTATAATCTCATTTGTTTTTGTACAGCTACTAATTTGATCGAGATATTTCTTATCATCATAAACCACATGCACCAACGATTTCGTTTTCTTTCTCTCTCTACGACTGGTGACCAATTTTGAAGTATCCGACATCAATTTTAAAGAAAACTGCATATCAGCTACTGATATTTCAGGTAAATTCGAAACATATTCAAAAACATGATGAAAAAGTTCTTCATTCCGTTCACTACAGAACGCGAGGTTCATATTTTGAAGGAGATACTTAATCTTGTCTTGAAGTTTTCTTTGCCCAGTCAAATTCTGCATTATAGTTTGAAGAAACAGATCAGAGTTACTTCCTCCCAATGTCAACATCAGATCTATTTGCCCTTCCTCCAGTCTGTCAACATCCGACATATACTCGGAGATGAATGCTGAATTGTCCTGGACCAATAGACAGGACTTTAACTCGTTCAACATATCTTTATCCTCCCACTTTATAAAGATATACCAGCTCTCATTCAATGTGAATGTCTTGTCTGCAGTTTCTGTGGCGGAATTGATTCTCCTCCTCAACCAACTGATACAGCTTCCCTTTAACCAATCGATTTCAATTTTCAAATACTCTGGAAAGTTTATGTATCTCTTGGTACATATGATCTTCAATATCTACAAACTGTTTGTCCTCTAGTAATGTTAGAAACAATGTCACAGCTTCAGGTGTAAAATCATATATTTCAAGCTCATCATACTTCAGCTCTTCTATTAGGTAACGAAACATACGACTCTCAGTTGTGAGTCTTTCTTTTGAGACCAGCAAAGGGTCTCCGTCTCTTATCTTGATAACAATATTTTGTTCTCCCATGGTCGCCTGTTAGAAATATTGTTAAATCCCAGTTTCACAAACAGTCAGTACAACTTGAATTATCTTAAACCCTGAATCTGTTGGTTATTTATTTTTTATTTATAACTCGTTACTTGCAGTATTTTGTACAACTTACAATATTCAAACACTCAAAATAAGACACGACTAAATTTAACGATAGGATAATAGAAAAAGTAAGATCACAACTTGAAACGGACTACATTCAAAGTTACAACAAAGAAGGCAGGAGAAGTAAAACGATGATGAGACCGCAGGCGTGTGTAATGTGATACCCAACTACTCAACCAAAAAATCTAAGACTACTCAACCAGTCATTATTTACTGAGATATTTATAAACGTATTATGGGAGAATAAGGGCGATTATATTATAAAGATTGGAAATATTAAGCTGTGTGTTTACGGCGCTATGGATGAATTTAACAATGACTCAGGCTCAATTCAACAATAAATTGTTGAATATTGTTTGAAAATTAAACTATTTAAACATTTTTGTCACCATGTTCACGTTGGTCTTGCGAAATTTAATATAAAGATGCAGTGAAACTATCGGACTACGATGAATGGGGACTAGTCATGTTTCTAATATAGTCATTAGTCACATGGAATTCAACTTTTCAACTTGGTTTCCAATTTTATTTAACATCATACACTAGCTCGCTGTTAACGTTATTCTTCACTATGTTAATATCTTATCGTTTTAAACACCACGTGACCACGTCTCTCTTTCACTTTCACTTTCACTTTAAACACTCTCTCTTTCAGATTCTGCCTGATGACACGTTCCCAAACATACAGTGAGGGGTGGCAGTGCACGCCCAGCAATTCAATCACCACATACTTCTACCCCTCTATCCTTAATGGAGAACGAGTATTCGACGGTAACGGGCCTCGTTCAAAAGACGCACTTCCCGATGTACTGCGCTACGCTTTCAGTGTCTCATCTAAATCGTATTGGTTTGTCGACGAGAACTTCACCCCTTACAACATGCAGTCCCAACATTTGAGGTCTCAGTTCCTGTTTGGGTTCCCCATCAAGGGTTTCCGAGATTGGAGCCAAACGAGGGAGGAACAGAGGGAGCTGTACAAGGAATTCATAAAATCCTACATTCCAATCCTCGATCAAAAGTCAACAGACTCCGTGAAAGTCTATTACGGTTCAACGGATCTGTACGATTACCAGGCGTACTGGCTGTTTTGCGAGGATCTCAAGTTAGCGATATTCGCTCTTGTCATTGTTTACATCTACATGTCAATACACACCTTCTCGCTCATTCTGGCCTTCTTTGCCGGGGCCTGTATTCTTGGGAGTATCGGGGCTAGTTACTTTATTGTTCGGGTTTTGTTGGGCCACATTAAGATGAATGTTCTTAACGGGATATCATTGTTTGTTATTTTGGGGATCGGGGTTGACGATGCGTTCGTTTTTATAGACACTTATAAACAAAATGGCTTCATATTGGATCCAGCGGTGAGGCTTAAAAAGACATTCCAGGTAAATTATTGAAACTTGATAATTCAGATTGTAATCAATATTTTATCTGAATCTGAGGCAAAATCGTTCTTCAGAAGTTTTTGTTTCTACTGCAACTGCACTTGTATTCTGCCTGAACTACATAGCAAGAATACCATTTATTTTGTGATGCGAATATCAGTGTATCGGGCAGTATTCAGTAACTATATCCCAAATATTTCAGATTGCAGGGAAAGCGACTCTGTTCACCTCTGCCACCACAGCAGTAGCATACTCAGCGAATATCTTCAGCAAGATCCCAGCTGTATCCAACTTTGGGTACTGCATGTCTCTTCTAGTTGTCACGTGCTATGTTATTGGTAGGTGTATTTTATCTGAGAATTGTTAAGGTCACGTGCTAATGTCACGTGTTATGTCACGTGCTAATGTCACGTGCTATGTTATTTGTACATGCATTTTATCTGAGAATTCACAAGGTGTGGTCAAATTAAGACGGGGATGAGAGGTCAAATTAATAACTGATCATTGCTTCGCCTAACTTTTATTACAGTTTAATAGCCTAAATTTCTGTAGAAATGGACCACCCCTTCCTAGCTTATCATGATTCGCGAGACATGATTATTAGTTATTATCTTATTACCAAAGTTACCAGAGTTACTGTGACTTATTGTTACCATTATAACAGATGTGAACTAATACATACACACATGAACTTAAATAGGTAGACGCATAATCTTACATTCCATATAATGATCTAGTAACGGCTAAACGGCAATCAATAAAATCGGGGGGGGGGGGGGGGGGGGGGGGGGGGGGTGTAACCCAAAAAAACCCAACTCCTACCCAAGAAAAGGTAATACTGGGATTGGGTTTTTTTGGGTTTTTTTGGGTTTTTAAACAAAATTTAAACAAAATTCTAGCCATTTCATTAATTGCATTGAATGTGAATTATTTCCCACTGAGTCTTACCTACGTGTTGTTCTCATGTCTTAATTTAATAGATAGTTTACATAGTATATTATAAGTGTGTTTATATTGATAGTATGTTATCACGATAGCAAACAGGATGTCTCGTTCATCGAGATATAATCCATATGAATGCACAAAGTGGAAATGTGCCAAATGTGGCAAATGTGTTCTCCTGTCATGAAAGGAGGCTATGACGAAGGTCAAGGGCAAGTCAAAGCACATGACTTAAATTACTTGACTTAAGGCGGCTTCAGAGTCCGAGTCTCGATGATGTGTCTCCAAAGCTTTCTGTCCGCCATAAGCTCCTTACTCTCCCCAGTGTTCTTGAGTCCAGTGTCACTTATTAGTTTATCGACGAAGGTGAGCGGTGGTCTACCCCTCCCTAAGTTCCCAAAGGAGAAGTTGGTGTGCTGCCAGGTCATCATGTCGCTGGATGTGCCCAGCCAACCTCATTCTTCTGACCTGTATCTTCGAAATAACTCTTGGGAGTGATCCGAGACCTCCTTGTTGGTGCGATGTCCTCTCCAGTCCACGTTTAGGGCCATCCGAAGCATTCTACTGTAACATCCGTCTATTCTTTTCTTCAAAGATTCTGTTATTGTCCACGTTTTCGTTCCATACAGGAAGATTGATTCAACCGTAGCTTGAACAGACGGATCTTTAAATCTCGGCGCAAATTGGACCTCCATATAGCCTACATTTTGTGGTAGGCAGCCCATGCCTTGGCCTTGCGTAACCTAAAGTCGTGCTCCGTTGTACTAAAATCCTCAACTTCTTCTAAGGCATGTCCGTCCTTAGAAATTATTGTCCTCATCAGATGAGGCTTCTGTAGGACTGTAGCATGTGATGACAGTGAGCCTGGGCTTTCCATTAAGAGACATGGTGAGGATCCTTGCGCTGTAAGATTTTATAACTTTATAAGATTTATAGCCTCATATGCTGTCCTCGTCAAGATGATTCCTACTCTCCCAGTAGGAATCATCTTCTCTGCGTGGAGAAGCGCCAGCTGCGTTTCTCCACGCAGATGAGATCACTGGATGAATCCCTTTGTTCATCTTTTCTATTCTGGTATTCTCAGCAATCAGCATGCACTACCCGATGTTCGATTCTTACAGGGCAAGGATGTGCGCATTGTGCAGCTTGCTTCGAGAAAATAGTTCTTCAAGTTCGATGCGTTTGTGCTGTTCTCTGGCTGTTCTATTGTTAAACGTGCCAACCTGAGCAGCCCTTTTACATGATACAATGCAATTGATGTTCATGTTTTTTTGATGTTTTCTTGTTTGACTTTCTGTAGAAATAGGTTGTCGTGTTGTAGAGACCGAGTCATCAGTTTCTGTAATAGCAGTGTAATTAATAATTAACCCGGCAACCACTTTCACTAGAAAAATAAGGGGCTTTAACCCTTACAAGCTATGAAGAAGGGAGTCTCAAGGGGTAGAGAACTCCTTCAAGAACACTATAGCTTTGAAGGAGAGGCTTTCCAACCATCTTCTGACGGAGCAGAGAGTGACGAAGCGGAAACAGATGATGAAGAAGAGGAAGTGGAGGATACTGACTCATCAGAGGAATGGGCGAAAATAGTAACTGTGTATGGTGATGCTCTGCATCATGATACGGCTGTTGAGGTTTGCCTCAATGGAGGGCGAGATCGAATGCCATCTCAGTCAAGATTTTAGCGACTCCAGGGCCATAAACAAGCGAAGATATCACTTAATATCACATGTGATCATGCAGCTGATGGTAACTGCAAGATTCTTTCAGTTGGAGATAGAGCATGGTTTCTCGTTAAGCGGATGATCAGGAAAACGGAAACAGAGATCGTGAAGGTGAGAAGAAAGGTTTTATTCCTCTCGTACCGGTTGCGGTCAGGGTTGGGGTCATCAGTGAGTTGCGTCCCTACTAACTCAATTTGCCATGGCCATCGAAGTGAGCATTACATATGGCTGATATCATATCTGGATGGCCAACTTCTTCTGAGCACATCAGTGAATAAAATACTGCTTTTGGGTGATATTTAAGCGATTATATCTATTGTGATGTTGTAGTGATGAACCACAACAGTGATGTTGTACTGATAATTGTTTTGCTAGGTGCCTACATGATTTTATTTCCTTCAAATGAAAAATTTGTAAAAAACCCAAAAAAACCCAACTCCTACCTTGAAAAAGGTCATACTGGGATTGGGTTTTTTTGGGTTTTTTTGGGTTACACCCCCCCCCCCCAAAATCTAGAAAATCCGTTTTAAAGCTAATATATACATGACTTACAGATCGACATTAATATGATAAAACACCATTTTAAAACTTATAAATGACACTATAATAATTATAATTGCAGTAACGTTACTAATGCCGGCGGTATTATCGCTGTGGCATGCAACTGGAATTGAGGAGAAGGAGAAGAGATTAGAGGAATGTTTCGGGAGACCTCTTCAGAGAATATTCCCCTGGTAAGCTCACTAATTACTCACTAATTATTCACTAATTACCCACTAATTACTCACTAATTACTCATTAATGAATGAAACACAATTCTAAGCTCACCTCTTTGTTAAACTATAACTAATCTTTTTATAATCATAGGTGTTCAACATAGCAATCATGAGATTAATTTAATTCTGCTTTCCGACGAATCTGTTTTAATTCTCCAGAAAAAGCATTCACGATTCACAAACTACACACATAATATTAACTTCGATATTTCATATTATTATTAAAATTTATAGAAACGCACCTAAAGAATCTCTACACGAATTTGTAAATCAATTCTCTAATTAACACTGAAGCTGATAATGCTAATTAATTATTAATGCTGATAATTAACACTAATGAGAAACAGGGTATCACTCTCCAGGTGTAGCACAGATAAAGAGTACCAAGTACGGTACGCCCCCACCTCTACAGTAGACAGAGACTACGAGAACCTGGCTCCAGCTGATCTTACTCTTACTCCTAACAACCTATACGATAGGTAGGTACACTTTGTGGGTACACTTTGTAGGTACACTTTGTAGGTACACTTTGTGGATACACTTTGTAGGTACACTTTGTAGGTACACTTTGTGGGTACACGTTGTAGGTACACTTTGTGGATACACTTTGTGGGTACACTTTGTAGGTACACTTTGTAGGTACACTTGGTAGTTGGTGGGGAGATCGGATTATGTACCCATTGTCAATTATAATGTTTGTTTCTTTTTTTGATAATCTGTAACTCCAGGCTGGGCGAGATGCCGGCTGAAGCTATTGAGGAGCCTCTCTATGAAGTGATGAGCGGAGAGAACGTCTATGATAGGGTTTGTGGTCCTTACTTTATATTGTCATATTTTTAATCTAAATTCTGGATTCCCCAATTACCCAAAGAACCTCTTAGAGCTAGCAATATTATAATACCACAATCTTAACCATCTAAACATGAACACATCATACACATACTTACTTGCATTATACACACAATAATATTATACTCACATACTCCTACCTACAGGTGGATCTAGGTCGAAGAGAGCGAACTATCCGTCACGCCACCCTCTCCGGAGCCACCTCCTTCACAGGTGAGCCGCGCATACGACACGGCACTCTCTCCAGCGAACACAGACAGGAGACAGTGGCCAGCAGTAAGCTGGAGGATGATGATAGTGGTGTTGATCCTGAGGAGGGCAGTGATGAGGTCTCTATTGCGTGCCCGGTTAGTGCAGGGTTGGGAGCGGACCTTAAAACCTTTTTTGCGATACGGAAAGAAAACTTGAAAAAAACAACCTTAAAAACCGCAGGAAACACTGAAAAAACCTTAAAAAACACCGAAATAAAACCTTAAAACCTTAAAAAAAAGAGAGAACCTTAAATCACAACCCTGGGTTAGTGTTCCTGTCGTGGGCCTGTTCCACTTTTAGCCTTCCCTTCCGTAATCAGTATTACACAATACACATTGCACGTAGCTGTGTTACAATTACACGAGCGTAATCATTTAGAACTCCTTACCTGGCCCTCCCCCTCAGTTGCAGTGATTACGTAATATGCGATCGACCCCTTATTTGTATTGTTTATGCATACCGGTTTTTGGTTTTTTGGTTTTGGTTTAAAGAGCTTATACTTGCCGCATATGTCCAGGTGCATTATAATAATGCAGGACTTCTAGGCAATGAGCTTGGTTGTGGGACACACTCGACTAGGGATGTTGAGAGGCCTCAATCAAGTCTCATTAAAGAGATATCAACAGAGTGTGAACCACTGCATACTCAATAAACCCAAAACATTAGTACTTTGTGTAGATGCTTGACGGAACCGGTGGCCCCGTTATAACGTGCTATTTATTTCTAAACTTAGTGATAACTGTTCTGTTTTAAACAACGAGTCGCTCTGGAGTTGTATATACTGATAATATTTATGAAGGAGCACATGTTCTGGAGTTGTATATATACTTATACTGATAACAACTGACTTAACGAGTTTATTTTCTGGAGTCGACTTAGTGAGAAGCTGAGTATTAGGTTGAAATGAAATCGGAAAGTTCAATAACAGCACATATTCCAAGTATGGAAGGAGTAAAGTATGGAAGGAGTAAAGGAGACACCCCATATTTATCTGTACCTCAATAAATTTACCAGATCTGTAGAGTTGGAGTTAGTTTTTAAAACCCTATAATAATGATATCCCTATAACCACAGTAGGATCCTTATCATTCGGTTACTGTTAGGAATAAAGTGCTCCCTCACTATTGTAGACGACTCTCTGTTGTCCTAATGCTCTGAAGGGAGTGCGGATAATTTTCAAAGCACGTTTGGTCAATGTTAGCATGGTGGCTGGATGTAACCTACCCCACGTGACCTTGCCACGTGACTGGTGTGTTATACCACGTGACTAGACGTGTTATACTAAATATGGCCAGATTAGTCGTCAGATTGCATTTAACTCCTTTACCGGTTCCTGAGCCTCGGCCCCTGTTGTGTGTATTGCACTCTCTCAGTGATGTATTGCACTCTGTTGTGTGTAATATTGCACTCTCGCAGATATCCATCATGAATACATTTACATTCTGTAAGAGAAAACGTCGAAATAAATTGTCATATTCTGGTCTGTGTTTTGGATTTAATTTTCTAAAGAAGTACCACTCACCTTTCAGGCTGGACGAGCTGATTCTGAAGCGTCAGATGTCAAAGAACCATACGGAAACAGGCCAAACACACAGGTACATGAATCAGTCACGTAATCCGTCACGTGATCAGTTCATAACCCCGTATAAAATCCAGTTATCTTACCTATTATCACTTTATTATCCCCAGAATATGCGAACTTATACCGTCTTTTACCGACTTAACAATATGTTTAACTTATAGATCCGTATCACTGCCACGCGGGTTGTTAAACTGAAACTGAATACCATTGTGAATATTGCAGGTGTACGTTATGGTGGCCCCGGTGAGAGGTAAGGACGGTTTAACGAGCTTGACCTGGTTACAGAAGCTGATGAGAAACTGTGTCGCTCCGTTCATCGTCAAAATGAGATACGGTGTGTAAACAGAATACTTTATATTTCAATCAATTAATTAATTAACCAAGCCCTCGATTAATTCGTTAGATATATATGCACCTTATTATTTACAACGGCCATAAAATGGACAATAAACATAGGATTTTTACTTTGCGGAAATTGGGTGCCCGTAGTTGCAAAACTTAGTTTTTCCCTTCTCAAAAATTATCTTGGCGAGAACACAATATAGAAATATAGAGCTAGTAGAGCTGTTAAAACAAAATTTTTCAACTTAATACCCAATTCAGCATTATCATGTTTCGGACTCTTCTCATAAAATGAAATCACTGTCACATTAAAGTCAACATTATTACATAATATTATGAGTCAAGAAAATCGTGTGTAGTAAAATGTATCATCAAGCAATTTGTTGTGTAGGCCCCTCGCTCCTTGTAATCACTGGTCACTCATATTGCCATGTGGAAGTAAGTGAGTCGCATGAATTTAAGAAAGTCTCACGTCTACACAATAATATCATATTGAACTAGGTATTTATAATATATAATGTATTTATAATATAATAGTATTGTACAACTAAGCTACATGTATTGCGCTCACGTTCCGCGCATTTCTGAGGAAACACATATTTTAAATAGTATTATATCACCACTAGAGCTAGAGGTCACGTGAGATCTCTACATTTTTACATGGACTCATCCTGACAGTATGTTAGTGTCTATGGCTCTTTCTTACTGAGATTTAATTCAGAATTCGTATGCAAGAGACAATAACATGGTCCTTAAATTGTAATTTGCGTTAGATTAAATAATAAGTGATATTTGCTCTTATGTATCTGTTTAATTTAAATTATATAGCAAGTATGATCGTCCCTTCGTGAGTAGGTTATTGTTTAAAGATACTAATGATACTCATCAAATATAAATAATAATTCAATAGAATTAATTTAATTAAATGGGAAGAACTGCAACTTTAAATGATTATCTGTACTGATAATACACAGTGACTAGTGACCACACTCATTGCTAATAACATGGTATGATATCATGTGTGTGTGTGTGTGTATGTCGCCTTGTTAATGCTATCACACATTGTTTATCAGACTCCTCGAGTTTCAAGAAGGAAACTTCTAGATCAAGTGAGATAATGAATCTCAATTGTTAGGCGGGACTAGAGGGCGCCGATATATACTTTTTAACCGGCAGTTTTTTGAGGTGTAATAAAGGTTTCAGAGAGGCACTAGCTGGGTAATAGATCCTTTGTGGGGTCATACAATTATTCAATAGTGGATCTTGTGGGTAGTCGTCAGTTTAGCACAAACGATTTGCAGTAGCTGATTTGTACAATGAAGTCATCAAGTCCTCGTGAACGTACTTTGGTCGTACAAATTTTCATTAATCAATGTGTATTGAAGAATAGCGTGAATTAGTAAAGATCTTAGTTTCAATTAAACACAATTTCTGCAAGATTGTCACAATTACCATTGGTACAGACTACAAGACTTACATAATCACTGTGGGCTAAATGTGGGGCGCATAAAACTATTAGTAATAAGCAGTAATCTTGTGGGACTTCGTCAGCTGAGCACAAACAATTTGCAGTAGCCAGTAATTTTTTACAATGAAGTCATTGATGAAGCCATCAAGTTCTCGTAAACATACTTTGGTCGTACAAATTTTCATTATTCAATGTTTATTGAAAAATATTCTGAATTAGTAAAGGTTTTTACATAATCATAAACATAATAATATGTTTATGAAACTTAGTTCAATTAACGATAATCATAACTAATTCTATTTCAGTTTCGATAGTGGTATTTGCTATAATCCTCGCTTTCTCTGTCTGGGGTGGAACACAGATCCAAACACCCAATCATCCGCCGGAGATCTTCCCACGTGACAGTAACATCCAGCACTTTATCAACCTCAGCTACGATTTTACTAGCACTGAGAGGTAATATTTTATGATTTAAAAAAAATGTTTCCTTGTGTTTTACCTTATCAACATCAAAGTCAGTTTTCAATTTTGTTTTTAGTGTTCAGAGACTATACCATAATATCATACCAAATAATAACATTTGATCTCGACTCCCTCAAACACTTTTATAACCTTTTACCACCTTTTACCACCTTTTACCACCTTTTACCACCTTTTACCACCTTTTACCACCTTTTACCACCTTTTACCACCTTTTACCACGCTCACAGGTGTGACAAATGTTCGGGTTACTTCGCAGACCGTAGTTCTTTACTAGACAGAGCTAAGAAACTACCTTCCTATAACGCTAACGATCAAAAACATTTCCCTAACGGCGGGTAAGATGAGGGTAATGTTTGGGGACGATAAGTTGATTCAATTTATTTAAAAACTTTAAGCACTTTTGAAGCTTATTGAATATTAAAGTTAATCTGGTGGTCCGCATATAATAATTAACTATTAAGGAGGTATAATTATTGTTATTATCTCCTCTGTAAGTGAGCTGTAGAATCACTACTGTTTTAACTACGCTAACTAGCACGGGCCAATATAGTTACTGCAGTTTATTGATTTACTTATCATCCCATTAACCAAGTACACTAATTAATTAACATTAATTAATTAACTTTAATTAATTAATTAACTCACTGTTATTCCAGCGGGCTGGACCCAAGTGTACTGAATGGTGGAGGGTCGAGCGGCGGAAGAGGAAACAGCGGACAATCAGGCACTGGTGCATACAGTTCTGATAGCGGCAAAGAGTGAGTTTCTCTTTTACTTTCTTTTTTTATCATAATTCTTTCATTTTCAATTTCTGCCGTTTAGTATCATGACTTGACAAAGAAAAATCTATCGAAATTTTAGTTCAGAAACAAATCATCAGTGACATGCTCATGTGCACTATTCCATTTCACATTTACTATAAATTTAAGTATAAGCTCCAATCAGCTCACTTCAATCTTCATGATAATAATATTGATAAATTATGCATCAAATACGGGAAACACTTGAAATTCAGTTCAATTGCCGTAGAACTTAACTTGTATCTGTAATTGAAGAAATTATCAGCAAAGGTAAACTATACTCGTGTACACATCAATACACTACGCGTGCCACGTACAAATTGGGCGTATTACCTAATATTATACATTACATCGTATACATTAAAACACATGGTCGCGCCGCGCATTCATATATCATAGGCTATCTATTATACATCACATCTCCGCAAGCAATCCTCGCGCGCGCGCAACTTTTTCGTTGCATGGTAACTAACGGAAGGACTGACGACATATTTAAACCCACCTATCTCGTTCTCCAAAATCCACTTTTTTCTGCAAAAACCTCCATTCGTAACCTTTCACTATTGCCTTTTTTCAAAAGGGTGAAAAGGAAAAAATAATGTTATAGTATATAATAACTATTATTAGATAATATGCTCTGATATCACGTCAGTAAAATATTGTTAGAAAACTGAACGGCGTTAAATTATTGCAAAATAACAAAAATTAACAGAACTTTCTGTAATTCGATCAGTCGCATGATCTCATCATGTGCTTTACGACTTAATAAAACTAAGTTTAAGAAGAAGATTAAAAGACATATAATAAACGGCTTAAGGTTAATAAACATTCAGTGTTTTGTTATCTGTCTGTCTGTCTCTGGAATGCAGCTCTGGGTTAGGGAATGTAAGGGGAACAAGCACAGATATTTCAAAATCGCAATGTTTTCCAAGCATTCAGAAATAAAATAAGTTTATTTATCAAAGCAAATTCCGTTGAATACAAAAATAAAGTTAGGTCAAAGAAGGTTAATAAACAGTAATCGTTACAGCCCGAATTTATCTCACAAATGTGTGTCCTCTACATTCGTCACATTCCTTAGAGAAGCCTCCTCCTCGCGCTGCAACTCCTGTAGTTGTACCACAGGAACAACAAGTAGAGGCTCACAAGCTTGTCCCTCCTGTGTTCCTGCTCTTGTAGACTCCTCCTCTATCTGAGTCTCTACTTTACCTCGAGGCTCACTTTGTCTTTCAGGAAACCTTCTCCTCTGCTCCCTGACTAGCGAGAGGATCTTCATCTTTAAAAAGCGTCTAAAACTCCTCACAGTCAGTGAGTACACAAGAAAGTTAGACATGATGTTAATATAGTTGAGATACAACACTCCCCTCAGAGTAGTATTACTGTACCTCACTCCCAGCCTCCCTACCAGTATCATCACACCAGACGGCAAATACGACACAAAGAACACCCCCACAGTTATCAACACTGTCACCACCCCCTCCCACCTCAGTGATCCCCCCTGACGACGCACAGCTCTCCTCGCCAGCGCTAGCAGGAGGATTGAGCTAACAAGCAGGATTGAAAGGGGTAGGATAGTACCAGCTATAAACCCAACCAGGCCATAGTGTCTGAACCATGTGGGAACCTGTGGTGAGGACATGTCATAGTCACAGTCGTACACTCTGTAGCTGAAGTGGAGTGTGTCCTTGATGTAGACCATGTTGACTACTATCATGGGAGTGTAGAGGCCCAGGAGCAAGAGCCAGAGAACTCCGCAGATCTTGTGGCCTACACTAGAGGACCAGCTGCCTGCTCTGATGGGGTATTTTAGTAGGAGCAGTTTTAGTGCTGTCATGGCACATGTTAGCACCATGGTTACAGCACCACAGATGAAGATCACGTGGTTCTGAAGATGACACAGAACAGTCCCTAACACCCATTTATCAGCAATGAAGGAGAGTAAACTAGGGAATACTCTGAACACAGTCAGTAACAAGTCACAAACAGCCATGTGCTGTATCACTGCTACTATCAGCCGGTGTTGTTTGATAGCGCTGTACTTTATGGTGCCTATCAGTATGATAGTATCTCCTGTTAGAGATAGTATCAGGACCACAAAGCTCCAGAGAATGAGGATGTATCTCTCAGAGTTGTGGTGGATTCCGTTCAGTGTTTTGTTATCTGTCTGCATGTCTCTGGAATGCAGCTCTGGGTTAGGGAATGTAAGGGGAACAAGCACAGATATTTCAAAATCAAAATGTTTTCCAAGCATTTAGAAATAAAGTAAGTTTATTTATCAAAGCAAATTCCGTTGAATACAAAAATAAAGTTAGGTCAAAAGAATAACACGGAAGAGAATAATGCAACGAAAAGTCAGAATGAATTGTGCCAATGAAGCTGCTATGGATGGCGAGGTAATTCTCAACCCCTGCATGCTACTCACGGAAAGGTTCTACAGTTTATTCTTATATCACTGCCTTATGGCTATGCTCACGAGAGCTATGTGTAATTAAAGAATGAAGAGTTAGATAAGAAAATTTCTTAGTTACAAAACCTGTACTTGAGTAGGTGAGTTATTTACGAAGGAATGTAAAATTATAAGAGACGTGAATGTAAGGGTTGCGAGCTAGAGAAATTTAGAGATGTACTGATAATCATAAACAAAAATGAAGTGTTGCCATCTATAATAATATAACATATAATCCCAGATAAAATTGGAAACACTTCGTTATATTATGCATTTTCCCAATACTTTCAGGGTGGTTCATGTTTCATATTTTGCCCTAGTACCCTTTTAACAGCTGTTCTTATCGGCGCCTGTATTTAAACTCTTGTTTGTAAAACGGGGTATCCATTACGGTGTATAAGTTACAATTATAAGTTGCCAACCGATTCAATATTTAGATCAGTCTTTCATAATTATTTTCCCGTAAGTATAATATTAGCATATGGTTTTAAAAAATTCGTTTTAACATTTTGAAACCTACTGTACGCGTTTTGACCAAAATATCTCTTGTCTTCTTGATTTCTCCCTGTCAACTTTCTGACCCTGTCGAATATCTGTACATGATTCATTTAATATATAATAATATGAGCAATAACCATTGTGGTATGATATAGATGACGCATTAACGCCACAATGGAGTATATCATTATTTTTGCGTGCAATACAGTACCCATTTCTCAGATAATGTAACATTTAAATTACATTAAATTATAAATCTTCTAAGAAGGTAATCTGAGAGTCCCTTGTAAACCTACACATACATTATATAACGCACACATCAAGTTCACGTCATCTAAATGACTTAATGTTTCTCCTTATTGTTAACTATTTAAAGTTCCTTGTGTTTAAGTTTAGTGGCATTAATCGTAAGAATTACAGTATTGTGGCCAATATTCTGGTCTGCTCCCCTAATCTCTACTAAACTTCCGTACAAAATGCGCCTGTATTGCAGTACTATTGTGGGTGTATCCTATGTGGAACTTGTCGTGTATTGATTATACAGTAATTAGCATGAAGCACGATGTGTAATACACGCTGTACAATGTATATACTCGCTGTACAATGTATGTACAATGTATAGTGTATATTGTATAGTTGTTAGAGATATATTAGCTGTAACATTTGAACACTCGAAGTCAATGTAGCATAATGTGATATGATGTATGTACTATTCCTAAGTCACGTGATAAGATATAATGCACTGTTCCTAAGTCACGTGATAAGATATGTACTATTCCTAAGTCACGTGATAAGATATGTACTATTCCTAAGTCACGTGATAAGATATGTGCTATTCCTAAGTCACGTGATAAGATATGTACTGTTCCTAAGTCACGTGATAAGATATGTACTATTCCTAAGTCACGTGATAAGATATGTACTATTCCGTAGTCACGTGATAAGATATGTACTATTCCTAAGTCACGTGATAAGATATGTAGTATTCCTAAGTCACGTGATAAGATATGTACTGTTCCTAAGTCACGTGATAAGATATGTACTATTCCTAAGTCACGTGATAAGATATGTACTATTCCTAAGTCACGTGATAAAATATTATGTACTATTCCGTAGTCGTTCTCGCAATGTGAATGGTCCTGAGGTTAATTACTAATTAATTACCTTAGTGGTCCTTCTACCCTCTGCTTAGCGTGTACCGTGCTATTGTACAAATTTATGCAAATTAGTAAAGTTATGCAAATAGCTCTTTGAAAAGAGTCGTACGCATCATCACTTATACAAATCACAGTGCAGGGTAAGTAGAAAGGAAGGACCTTTTCCATGCATATATAATGTAGCTCCTCGCTATTTATCGGGTAATTTAACGCGGGGAGGGCACGTTTTAAGCAGAATTTGGTTATATACAGTATAATGGCCCTCAATAGAATAGCACATAGTTATAGTAGTAATATGGTAATGCCTGAGCTGGCCTAGGTTGGGCAGCGGAAGCCTTCGAAGGATATAATTGGTGTGAAATTGTGAAAGGTGTAGTGGAAAAAGATAAGTTGGAGAAGTGAGCAGTAAGAGTAAGAGTAACCAGGGCACGATAAGGGTGCTGGTGAGAATGAAACGACTAAGCAAGGTGTCGACCATCTGGATAGATTGGTACAGTTTATACCACGCGCACTAAAAGCTGACACGCCCTAATTTTGGGCTCATCTTCCAACTGATTCATTTTGCAGTCTAACCTGTCAGTTGTTCACTGTAAACTGCAACTTTCCTAATGATATTAAGCTTAGTAACCTACGGGTTATTATTAGGTATAGTTTAATATAGTATATAAACATATTACGTGAGTTATATTATATAAAACAAGACTTTAAGCCCTCAGGGGTGACTACTTTAGAATTATGATTAAATTTACGCAGAAATACAATAAGAGTATTAAATAATTTAAAGAAGCTTCTGAAATCTGCTGATATGTGTAGGACATTCAAATCAGTTCAAAGATCTGACAGTAGAATGCCCTTTTAAGGGCTTAAAATTCAATAAATAAAACGTTTAAATTCAATTATAATGTAGGATAGACTACCTTTGTACGGTGAATATTTTTATGTGTAATTAATTAATATTTAATTACATTCGTACAATTACACACAAAGATCACCCGCTAGCACACAAGGGATGATTATAATTAACAGTACGTTTGTGTGTTAATTAACAATTATAACTATTACAGCACTGTGAGGAGTAGTTTATAATGTGGTCATATTATTCATGCAGAGATGATACATTACCTTCTACTTTATTAAACGTTACTTACTAGTTTATTAAATATTACTAACTAGTTTATCAAACTTTCACTCAGTTACGGTGAGTCATGTGATGATCATTAATCATGCTTAATGCTTATGAAATGTGGTCATTAGACTGACATCAGAGTTGATATCATGTTTAACATCTGATGAGAAGTGAGAAATCATTCCGTTAAACGTGCAACCCCGCCCGTTGTAATTATCCTAAAAGAATGAGTCTAACCCTATTATTAGAATAAAGATTCCCCCGATTACGATAATTACTTTAATCTCACCTCTCGGACCAAGCTTAAAGTAGCCGGATTTTGGGGTCTAATCGTTTCACTACTTACTGTCCCACAGCATTGCAGTAAGGTTTTTAAAGAAACCAGTTGTATAAAAACTTACTTACTTGCAAATAAGTAAGTAAGTTTTTATACAACTGGTTTTAGGCAGACTCAGACGTGGTTGAAAATCAACACCCAGTAAATGTAACAATTACAGTAACAGCTCTCTCAACCTCTCATCAACTAGCTACCCGATAAGTCATTACAATATTTCAATTAAAGCCGATTAAAGTAGTAAGAAGTGTAGCGTTTTTTCGACTACACTCAAGTTTAATAATATTCTGGTTTTTAGTTATTATAAATTTGAAGGCTCCTAACGTACAACCTGCTTTTATGATATGGTAGGACAGAAATATTAGATCGACAATTAACAGTTAACGATCACCAATTATCATCTAGATATTGCAACTTAATTGTCAGGAAAACAGCCTGATTTCCAGAAATCTCAGGGACAAGGTTGATCTGACAGCACTAAAATATCAGGTGTATATTTCCGCCAAACTCTCTTAGGTGTTTACAAATAAACTGCCCACGTGATAATGTTACTGCCCACGTGACCATGTTACTGCCACGTGACCATGTTACTGCCCATGTGACAATGTTGATCGTTACATGAATAGAGGGTGCTGCCATGTCACGGAAACAGAGCACCCCTTCCTGGTGCCTTCCACCAATAACAACGCAGGATTCATACCACGTGATGTTGGGTACCCAATCAGAGGGCAGATAGAGGTTGTAATGGCAGATGTAGTCGGGCGTCAGGGGGACCGTGTATACTGTGTGTGTGTGTGTTTTAAACTTACCATGGTTCATTAAAACGTAATGTGAACATGCTGTGGAGTAATGAAATATGCTATTACTGTCTTTAAAGAGCAAAGTGGAGCTATTTGAGTATTTGAGATGAACAAATTTCATCCAGCGACTAGATTGTATTTCGAGAGTTTGGAAAGTTCAGGGTTTGGAAAGTTCAGAAATTTTTTCAAAACAGAGCCGAGCCTTGGAAAGTAGGTGATATTACACAGGACATTGCATTCCAGTATGACTGACCGTGCGCGTGAGTTGCTCTGATACAGCACAATGTTTCTTATTTACATATTTACATCTCTCATTACATTTTAAGTGCCTCTAAACAGTATCTAATAGATGTCATTCTCTCTATGATTCAGATTCTAGACACGTTTCTTCTCGAACAATAAATAATGTTTCAAATGAATATAACTATAAGTGATAGATAATGATGTGAAGGCGATTTACACGGAATATAAGTGATAGATCATGATGTGAAGACGATTTACACATGTATTTTGAAAGCTCCTGCTAAAACAGACTTTCCGTATCTCTTATATGTTTTAAAACAAATTCCCCTTCAGATGTATTATGCCCGCTGATAAACAACCCATTTTACCAACTTTCTCTGGAGGGCTGTACAGGGTGGCGACTCTCAACAATAATAATAATAAATTGAAATTTAATAACACCGCTATTAAGATAAAACTTATACTCAGCAGTGTTTAAACTAGTCATCCCAGAAAATAACATGAATACTAAGTTTAGAAAAGTAACTTATGCTCGAAAACATATCGTCAATACTCAATACTCAATACTGAAGCCAGAAAATGGTACTTAAACATATTATACAAAGATCATACACCAGATAAGACAATCACAGTTATAAAGTAGTCTCAATATTAACCATTCTAATTGTCCAATTCACCAGTAATTTCAATTGTGACTTATCAGAAGAGATAACATTGATGTATTATAATAGTGAGATGATATTTTAAATTCTTGGGCCCCATTCCTGACACTTACCTAGCCACAAGATACCACAAGAGACTCGCTGAAAAACTATCCCAGAAGAGAGGAGAAGACTATGCGGCTATTATGTGTTACATGCGCACCAGGATTAGATTCTCAATCCTCAGGAGCACCCTGATAGCGGTCAGGGGTGAGAGAGGGAGACGGCAATCGTATACATTGCCAGTCAGTGTAACTTCGTTTAACTTGATACCTGCCACCATGGACTATGAATGTTTCTAGACACTATCCTTTTGGTATTGAGATATTGGTATCTCAGATCACGTGTACATCGTTCCTTTTTTCATGACACAGTAATTTATTGACACTCACAGCTATAATTTTAATCATTGAATCAGTATTTTTATCTGTGCTCTGCGTAATGCATCACATGAATCAGTTTTTAATCTATTAACTTACCTAGCATTGTCCGGAATGAGTACCCAGCTGTCTGGGAGTGTAATAATTGAGCGGTGAAATATTTCCACTGTTTATTCAGGGAAATAGTCCTGTGGTAAACACGGAGTTGTTTGTGTACTGGGTGGTCTAGTGAAAATATTCATGGAATTTTCATTGTTCGTGTGATATTACAGAGTGTGTATTACAGAGTGTGTGTGTGTATTATAGAGCACATTTTACACACATTCTTTCAATTTCATGACGTCAGGATATGTATGTGTAGTGGTCTTGAACAAGGTAACTTTAGTAACCTGTAATGTTTATGTTTTAAGAAACTTATACTGAAGATATTTATAATATGATGACATTCTCGCTTCCTAGTGGTCTGCAATCAAATAAGTTGTAAAGATAACACAATTTTGGAAGTAAATAGGTTTAGTATCATGCGTTTACTTGTAAATGAAGTATATTTAAATCTTAAAACTTTTACCATGTAATTTAGATCTTACCTGAGTTCTTCACTCTTCAGCACCTAAATTTATTATCGTCTGAATATTCAATATTGATTCTAACCTATCGATATTCAAGATATTCGATCACGTAACGTCAGAACATCACAGATAAAAGTCATTTCTATTTCGAAATAAACGTTTAAACTTTTAAAGTGAACTTGAAATATATCACAAATTACTAAGTTCTCTCCCTCAGCTCTGTCAAGCATAACGGCGTACATAACACGTACTGTACGTCACAAAGAATCTCCCAGAATAACAAAAAACCAACGATGTTCTTTTGTAATAAAAATATGTCAAGATTTGAATTTTGGTCATCCATCAGATTAATCGCAAAAGTAAGATTTTTAGATTTCGTCTCCGTAGGAATGATTATAAGCAAGACCCCAATAACCATATTACTCGTCGTTTCTCGAAAATGTGGACAAGATTAAATTTGGATTTTAGAATTTTGGATTACCGCCAATAATTGTAACATCCTGCTACAAAGAAACATTCCGTTTAACATCTCGCTAAACCACGCCTTTTTCCAGTTTCCTCTCCTCGCCTCCGCAAGTCCAACCCAACGAGAATAACGAATACGTCATCCCTATTAATGTCCACCGTGAGTACTGTTTTTTTTTGTGCAACACTTACTGACTTGAATCTTGCGAGCAAGCGACCCATGAGAACGATGGGTCCTACTGAAGCCCAGCGGATTTGTGAGTACTTTTGTTTGTTTCTGGTACACCGGCCAATGTTTACAAAATCATGTGTATAATACATAACAATATAATTTTATTTAATATACGTGAATATGAGAATTGAAAATTACGATTTTGTTAACTTGTTGATATTTTAAAGTAGTCTTGGCAGCATGAAAGCGATGTACCTAACTCCCTTGTGATGGCCGTAAAAAGACAACTTGTTGATATAATCTACTCAAATTTTCAAATTCAATGCTTCAACAGTTTCCTTGTCGGAGCAAATTCTATCGACAATTGTCTACTATTTAAAACAATTTTGCTGGTTTAAAAAATATTGATATTATAATTCCCATGTTTGGAAAATATAGAGGGGGGTCCAAAAGTCAGTCTACATACGTTGTAAACTGACTTTTGCCCCCCCCCCCCCTGTACACGTTTCCATCACGTCTTCGATACTCTTTGATGTGAATGCCAAAAAGTTTTTCAGACGACCTACAAGCCTGTTAATTAAGTAAGGCAATAAACCCCGTTTATAATATAACTTTACACCCTTAATTGCTGTGTTTGAGTCAGTACTGCTGTCTACCTTGAAATGTTCAGTTATTTCTCACCCTGCCACATATTTTAATAAATTTTACGTTAAACAACTTACTACTTACCTCATGTGTTTTGTCACTATCTAATTCGCACAGGCTGTTTGGGAAAAATCCAGCATTTTATATTACTAACACATCTTCAAAGGAAACGTCTGGATAACTCTAATTAAAGGTTGCAGTAGTACCTTTACAGCGAATCATAGCTTGATTTATAATTCAAACACAAGGAAACATTAAATTTCAGAGAAAGATCCAGGAATAGTTGACCTATGTGAAGATAATGTGTGCTCTTTGACACACGCAAGAGAGGACAGTGCTAGTACAGCTGAAGTTATACTGGTATTCGGGATCAAAGGTTTGGGAATCTTGCGTAGCTTAGAGTTATGCTATCTTAAATATTTGGGCCAATGACCAGTCTAATCAATATAGTATTTCAAAGTTGGTTCAATGTCTGTACAACGTACGTATTTATCACGTATCTAACACGTGTTTAATACGTATTTAATCTCGTATCCCCCAGGAGTTGACATGGCTCACCTGAAGAATCATGTTAGTAGTCTTGATGAGGGTATTCCTATATTCGACGAGAACTTTCGCATCAACAAAAACGTTTTCGATGCTTTTTGTCGGATTTGCAGAAACACTTTGGCTAGAAAAGATCTGATCAAAGATATCAGTGAGTTATTCGGTTTCTTTGAAATAGTTTTATTTTAAATTATTTGCACTACTTCCCTGTCTCAGTGTTCACTATGTTAATTAAGTTATAGAGTTATTTTATATATATATATGATGCTAGGATCTCTAATATCGCTCCACTGTTCGAATCAGGAATTATGCATTTAATGGAATTCGACATCAGCTGTTCATAATGTGTAATGCATCTATGTTGTGGAATTTAAAAGATTCTTTCATAAACCAGTTGCTCCTGTACATATTTAGCTCAGACACTGTAAATGTGACATTACAGGGTGTTCACGATACATTGAAACGGTTTTAAATGTATTGTTTTAGTTTTAAAAACTAATAAAAAATTTTATGAAGCAGCAGTCCACTACATTTTCCGCTCATTTTCTTTGCTAACCGGTTAAAATTTTGTTAAAACCAGTTCAGATTCGGATATTTTACATAGCTCATGAAATTTCGTATATTTTGCTGCAAGGCTCAAACATGCTATTGCCAAGGCCTAATTTGAGAATGATCCTAGACCGTTTGTCGCTTAAATCATTTACATTTTACAGCTGATGAGGGATCTGGCTCACTATTGTCTAGTAACACAGTGCCAGCTTGACACTGTCTGCATTTCCTCTTTTGTCTAACAATTTCAATGTTCATCAACAACAGTCGTGCCATTGTGATGAGCAATTTCACAAAAGAAAGTTGAATATTTATTTGTTTCATCGTTATGTCATTAGTGTATCTTTCAATAAGCTTTTTCTACTGACAACCTTATGCAAATTGTCGCTTGTAAAGTGGATATCAGATAAATTTCTGTCGATATGCATTTTCTTCGAAGCTCATACGGCATACCGCACTAGGATTGTATTTATACAGTAAGAAATGCCAGTTGTGGAATTAGAATGGACAAGTGAACAAATGCCGATGTTTTGACACGCTAAAGTTTATCCTCCGACACGACAAGCCGAATATGCTGTACTCTATTGGTCCGTCACATGTCACATGTCATAACAAATTACCCCAAATTAGTTTTATCCCCACCAGGTCGCATATGACAGCGGTCAGAAATACCCTCCGGCGTACTAAATACTCTAGAATATCATTAGAACATCGTTTGTTCACACTCCGTTCTCTATTATACCCGTATCATTCCTAATTATAGATAAGTTGTGATAATTTGATTGTTTGACCCTTGACTCCGGAAAACTTTACCCTTTGTATAGTATGGTAGATATTGCTAGAAATTGGTCTTCAGATCTATCGAAAGTGTCTCATCATGACGCGCATTTTTGTGGCGCGTTGCTGCGCGTACATGCAAAATTCGAATCGTGCATGATTGATCGGTTTAATGATGAACGCGCAAGAGGTCTCCTGAAAACCTCTGGCAGGAATTCTGAATTCATGAACATTTCATTTCAAACTCGTATTGTCCGGATCGGAACATTATTTATTAGTCTCATGGTTGCTCAGCCAAGTTCTGCAAAGTTAACCTGAGCCGTGACAGGGTCCTTGGAGTAATACCCCAAATCGGGCCTCGGCCTCTCAATTACATTCCCGAGCCTCGATAAATCTTACGAAAGTCTAACTCCAATTCTTTACAGGTGGCCAACAAGACTGTGGTGCCGTGTGTGATTCTAACAAAATGCTAATGGTGAGCAGAGTGAGGAGTTGGGTGCCCAAATATCTTGGTTATCACACCGATAAGAATATCACTATCGTCGATTGGATCGCTCTTCCCTTCAGATCGGTTTGTCAACGATTTAGTTTCTCTAAAACTTGAATTATCTGTTTACATTCGATATTTTCGTGGAAAACACCAAGAACCCTTGCATTTTTGCTGAATCGAAGTTGGATTAAGATATTTCATGGGTATGCGTTTATAATCAACAATTTACCATCAATTTTTGATTTATTTTTCCATTTTCCGTCCGTTAATCTTGAATCGTAGATAACACAAATAAACTAATACATAAATTTTCAGACGACCCCAAATGGAGTGTCAAACTGTAAAGCGTACCACCACTGGGCCAAATGGCAAGAGTTCGTTGACCAACAGAAAGAAGATCCAGCATTTCCACCAGAGCTGGCGTCTCTGTTCCAAACATCAGACAGGTAACTAAGCTAGATATAACCTAGTAACTAGCATAGTAACCTAGTAACTAACATAGTAACCTAGTAACTAGCATAGTAATCTAGTAACTAGTATAGTAACCTAGTAACTAGCATAGTAACCTAGTAACTAGCATAGTAACCTAGTAACTAACATAGTAACCTAGTAACTAGCATAGTAACCTAGTAACTAGCATAGTAACCTAGTAACTAGCATAGTAACCTAGTAACTAGCATAGTAACCTAGTAACTAGCATAGTAACCTAGTAACTAGCATAGTAACCTAGTAACTAGCATAGTAACCTAGTAACTAGTGGTTACTAGCATTTCCACCAGAGCTGGCGGCACTGTTCCAAACATCTGACCGGTTACTAAGCTAGATATAATCTACTTTAATTCGTGAAGCTCTCAGAATTATCGTCAGACATGAACTGATCTTACTGACATTGTGGCCACTTTCTGCGGCCAAATAATTTGCCAGCATCTTTAAACGAACAATGAAGAGACCTCTTAAAGATATTTATTAAACATTTTAGTGCTTTACGGTTATTTAACCCAATCCAGGTGGTCGCACGTGTTCACTGAGATCGTGCTAGTAGACGGGGCTATCAGAGGCATCGCTATATCTCTCTGGTTCTGTATCATGGCTACTATCATATTCACCGGTTAGTTAGTTATAGCTGATACCTATATCAGTCAAGATGGAATTTGGATTGTTTCTGATTAGATTCAGGCTTCCTGGATAAAGCCATGCATATACCTCAATACCAAGTTTATATACCCGGTTTATTGAGATTCTGACAACACCATAATCATTGACAAAACACTATAAATACCATGAATATGATATTTTCAGGTCACCCAGTTCAGACACTAATTGTAATGTCTACCATAGTCTGTGAGATTGGATTTGTGTTTGGCTGTTTCTCCTTTGTTGGTCTAGAGCTGGGCGCTGTTGAGGTTTGTTACCCAAATATAGTAAAAACTAGATTTACCGCGCCCTGATTCACTGCAAAACCCGACTTACCGCGACCATTTCCTTTTCCAAAATGGAGTTTAACATACATAATATGAACCCCGATTTACCGCGGTTGTTTCCTTTCCCCAACCTCCACGGTAGATCAGGGTTTTACTGTATAATTTACAATGTACATGCATACATTAGTGAAACTTGATTCCTCTACATATCAACGTGAATTTAATTTACACTGACAATGGTAACGACAGCTACAGGTTCAAAATCCGTTGCATAATTCACACCTGGTGGATTCGTGTAGTGTTATTGAGTCTCATGATTTGATAGTTCTTTCATTCAAATTCCTGATTGTTTCTGAATAGACTCAGTGAAGACAGATTCTAATGGAAATAAATAGCTGAATAACGTATCCACATTTCTACGTCATACTCATATTCTCAAATTATTTGTTATATAGTAGTGTTGAAAGTATTAAAATTATTTATTTCCATTAGAATCTGTCTTCACTGAGTCTATTCAGAAACAATCAGAAATTTGAATGAAAGAACTATAATTTACACCATTTCGACGCGATAACTTTAACACAAACCCCTCAACTAATATTATACACATCTATCCAATATGAAGTTATTTTGAGCCCCATCACCGTTTTACACCCACCGTAATTTCAGGCGATATCTCTAGCTATCCTGGTAGGAACTAGTGTGTTTTACACCCACCGTAATTTCAGGCGATATCTCTAGCTATCCTGGTAGGAACTAGTGTGTTTTACACCCACCGTAATTTCAGGCGATATCTCTAGCTATCCTGGTAGGAACTAGTGTGGACTATTGTGTTCATTTAGTTGAGGGTTACAGGATCGCCGGTAAAACAGCTCCTCCTGATACATGGGACGGCTCTATTAGAGGTTAGCAGTGATTAACTAATTATCTGATTATCTAATTAACAAGTTTGTTAACCATGTCCGAAGCTCAGTAGTTGTTAACACGTTTATTTGTCGCAACTGAATGTACCGAAACAATTTTTGAAAATATTTAAATGCTCATAATATATTAAACATTTCTCAGGCTGGAGGTTGAGACACGCTCTAAATCACATTGGTGTCCCAATAGTGAGTAGTGCCATAACAACTGTCCTTGCAGCGTGCACCCTCTCCCTCACCCAGATTCAGGTAGAGTTCATTACCTTTCTCTCGTGACGACACTGCTTCTTTTGTGACGTCACTGCTTCTTTCGTGACGTCATAGTATATCCAGAAATCCCATAATACCCATTCAGTTAGAACTAAGGTTACTAACCGTATTATCCGATGCATGTACTCAGAAATTGTGTAAAACTACTAGGCCAATTCTCTATCATAATCTTAATTAGTTGGCAAATCATTAACTGTTTATCGACTAACTTGCTAATTGAGTTACTGATTAACTTGATAATTCACTAATCCTCCTTTCCCGCTCAGATGTTCTCCAGGTTTGGTAAGATACTGGCCCTAACAATGACCCTCAGTCTGGTGTACACCCTCTTCATGGCCGGATCTCTCCTTGCTGTGTTCGCCCCTGCCAAATTCTCTGGTTCGTCATCCACTCTATATTTCCTGTTTTGTTTAATATAAGTCTACTTACCTGTTCAGTGTTCAATCGCATAATTATCATTGAAAGTACTCAGAAGAATTAAAATATTTACAGATTTGTTCCTATGCATCCTTCCTCATGTATGACTCATTTTCTTCGCAGGATCAAAGAAATCTTCTCTAAAAGGGCTGGTCATTGCAATCGTACTGACTTGTGCTGTAATTCCTCTCCCTTTGTACCTCTTCAAAGAAGCTATCATCTGCTAGCAGTGGCTTCTATCTTTCACATTTGATAAGTTTTAAACCGCAGATTTTATACCCTTCATTTTGAATGTCCTCCATGAGGTCAAGGTAAATCATATTAAACGAAACTTCGTTACGTCACAAAGTACCACGTTACGTCACAAAGTATCACGCTACGTCACACCACGTGACTTCGTCATATCAGGACTGTGGAATTTGTAATAATCGTCACAGAAAATGAACTCGGAAACCGAATAATTTGTATTTTCAACTAAAATTATTTGATTTAACTGATGATATTTTATTTTAAAAGATGCTTATGTTTACAGAGATTTATTCTCCATTGATAATTTATATTTTTTCTTTTATCTTACCATATTTACAGCATAACGTTTCAGTAAGTTATGTCCTTGCAAAATTGAAGTAACATTTATATTTTGATCCTCCATATGCTGTAAATAGGATGTAAGAGTAACATGGGAAGATAGGCCCAATTCTTATGAGATATTAAATGAATATCTTGAGAGTATGTATAAATCTGTTTATCATTACATTTTATTGTTTATCATATATATGATTTTGTACCGCAATTACAAATACTGTATTTTATTTTTTACATTGAAGCAAAATATAAACTAGGAAGGGACAACTCATTTTTTGTCAGTCCATCCCCTGGAATCGCCAGATTTGAAATGTCAATTTGTGTCTATCAGTATCATCATCAAACAATTGCTCAAATGACATTGACAAAAATTACAAAATTCGGGTCACCTCCCTCAATAAGTTGTTCAGTGTGTGATAGTCAAGGCCAAGCTAAGCTCGTGGCGAAGTCGGAAAACTGGAGCTCCTGCGGTGCTACGACTTAGCGTCATGTCGTGACATTACCTGGGGACCCCAGGCTATCATGTTTATAAACACCGAATAGATAAGAGATTCGGCGGAATGACAGTGGACAGGCTGAGCGCCGGCCAGTAAGTCGTGACACTGTTACTGTAATCCTTAAGAACATCCTACTGACAGGTGGATTCCATACACGAAATTAACCTTTAAAGTTTTCCATGAGTCATTTTATTTCATAATTGCCGAAAAAAGCACTTTTATTCAGGTGTTGCTACACGTTGTTTTGATTGACGGTGTCAACCCATCGAGATCGTTGCTCTGCGAAGCATGAATGCTAGTTTGCGCGGCGCGTCGAAGCGGCAAAGTCCTCCAACACGTTGTTATATATACTTCTCTCGTGCACGCTTCGCGCGCGATCAAAAGGGCCGGTTCATGCAGCGTGTCATATCACGTGTGTCAATTCAGGTGAGCGCAAAGAATCGTTGATAAATTCAAGAAGCTAAATCACTCAACTGCAACGTCCGTCTACCAAGAAGCCCGATAACTCAGCTCACACCTTATTTACTGTCTACCCAGATCAAGCCGGTCTAAACTCTAATTCTGCACCGTGAACTGGCTCAATTGTCAATAAATGCCGCAGATCAAGTACCAGTGGGCTTGTCAGTCACGCACAAGTGCAATGTGCGCGGTCACTTCTAGTTCTATTCCAATTCGTGGCAAATGCAAAATAGCAATGATTTAACAAAAAATTAGGTCTCGTGAAGTGAGAGTTATTTGGGACCCAGATCGGGCCCCTACAATCTACAGTGCCAGTACCATGCTATAGCCTAAAAATGCCTCACTACCCTCAAATGCAAAATGACACGCGGCGGGACTGCCTCCCCATAAAATAATGTGTTAATAAACGGCGAGAGTGGCACATGCTGACACGCATCCCAACTTACCATCGGAGTTACGAGGTAGTAAAGTAGTAAAAGACATGCCCAGGTGATGATACCTCACACGACACACCTGGATGTTATTTTCCTGACCAAGTAGTACCTTAACAACCTGAAATGCGTTTTGTAGCTTTCGGCTGGTTTACTGTAATATTAATGCGTTTTATAAAGGATATATGCACGTCATGTTAAACACAATGACAAATGGACGGCTAACTTCGTTTAACTTTAAGTAGTCGCGGTAATTATGAAAGTAAATTCCTCACTTTATTTCCTGCAGCAGGTACTGATAGTCAACTTTTCTATAGGTATTATTTTTGTAATTCACTTGAATGCCTTTGTAAAAGTATAACACTATTGAATTTGCATTAGTTGTAGCAACCCTTAGTCTTACAATATTCGGTATCAGCGTGTTTAACTTAACTTTAACTTTCATAAAGCTTATTGAAATATCTATATTTATAGCGTTTGTGATTCCTTACTAACTCTTATTTTTTTGACGACCATGAAATTAGTAATATTAATTAACTGATGAGGTGCTCAGTGAGTGTTAACTAGGGCCTTCAAAAACAGGCCGACAAAATAATTATGATCGTCTCGTAGCGATTGTAGCTCATATGTGTCGTTGTAGTTGTAGTTGGTCTTCTTACCATTATTAATATTACCACTCTTAACACTACTACCACTGGTAGTACAGTGGTACTGGTACTACCAGTACCACTGTACTGATAAAACTGTCTACCGGCTGCCAAGCCTTGACGAGATTTAATAGAATGTCTCAGTTGCACTTAGAGTTAGGGGACATCAAGCAGTCTGGATATCAGGCGTAAAGTGTCCTTAATGTAATAAACGGCTGTTTGTGAAAACATTTGAGTTTAATCATGAATCATGACAGTTCCTAATCCTAAGCAGCGTCCAACTCAGAATAAGCTAGATACCTATAACTTATTGATTTTTCGTTTATATTCCCAATCTGAAGTAATCCAACATATAACTTTGAATTATTGTATGAGGTTGTATTTAAATATACAACAATATAAATAATTTCTAATTTCTTTCTAAATAATCTAATCATTGAAAGCATGGTACCACCGATTGTAGCATTTGTATGATCTCAAGAACACTGTATACATTCCAGACCTGACTATGAAAACCTCCTATTATTCCACTATGTAGGACCCACTGACTCGCTAATATTAAAAAAATACTTCCCGTACGTATTCCAAAGTTTGGCACAGTCCAGCAAACCTTTTAACTTATTTAAAAGTACCGGTGGTCCCACCCTGTAGTCGGTCATTACTGACATTTTGTTTGCCGACTCCCCGACTTTGTGTCTTCTTTCACCTCAATTTTTCAATTACGTGTACTACAAAGATTGGATTAATTTGGCTTCTGTACATTATCATTTATCAATTTTAAGCTTGGCTAGATTAATGCGTTGTTGTAGACTCGTATATCCAGCTTATTTTATTTTGGCAACCGTGGCTCAGACTTTTCTCTGATTCTCTTAGACGTATCATTAATATTTCATTAATATTTCATTTTATATACTTCATTAATATTTCATTATATTAATATTTCATTAATATTATTTGATTATAATTATAAATATAACCTAATTATCTTATCAGTATAACCGATCCTTGTTCGTCCTTCAAACTACTAGCTTCCTCTCAAGCTCTTTGTCTCATCTTACCCACTTAGCGCACACGTGCACCAATAACAGTGCACGTGCACCAATAACATTGCAATTGTCACCGAGAAGTCGTGCATAGTCCAACTTTGTCTTTAATTCAATTAAATATCGTTATATAACTTATAACTCAACTCAGAAAATGAAGATTTGATAAACGTAGATAAGATCATGTACCATTGAAGTCTTGCCACAAATTGTTCTTAATCTTGTTACGATCAGGCTTTGCTTGGTTGTACCGCCTGGCCCCGGCTAGACTTTGTCCGGCTTTGTATGTTTCGGCCTCGTGATTCTTGTCTGCTTCCCTAAATAGTAAAATCTTATTATATATTTGATCGAAATCAATTAATTAAAGAACGTACAGGATTTGTAATTGGATTTAATATTAGCAACTCAGGCCCGGGAGTTTTTAAAAGTGCTTTTAAATCATTAAATGTCAAGTGCACTGATAAACATAAAGATATTCCATTGTAAGTTATATTACATATTATACGGTGTATTATGTACTTAAACTTACAGTACTGTTCACAAATGAACATCAAAATTCTAAAAGCTGTAGAATCTTTGAATTTTGAGCTTCAGAAGTTTAGTATTGTTGTAACTTTAAGTTTAGTATTGTTGCAAATAGCTTTACCATTAGTCACACTGCGAGATTGTGTCGTTTAACTCTTTTATAGCAATTTAATGTGTACCTTAAACGGTGTTCTCTTTCGAGGCCATGCTCACTTGTACGTGTACTTTACTGTGCTAGGGCCATACAGTGACTTTGGCCCTATTATAATAATGCTGTTAATCCATATGTTTATCTGTGGTCGAGATATTTACGTTTACTGTTTTGAACAGACATAAAACTAATATTAACATTAATCATGTGTCGGTGCCTAAAATTGTTTTAATGTACCATTATTCAGTCATACGAAAGATAAAATCTACCCTGAACATGTGAAACAGTAAATTGTCTTTGTAAGTTATACCTGATGCAGATGACAGATGTGCAATGTGCATGCAGGAAATACTCAAATGATGTCTCTAAATTTGAAGACGCAAGCTTAACCGCACGACAATGTGCACTCTAAATAATACTAAAACAACATAAACGAACCCGTTTAGCTAATGAATCTTAAATTTTATCTCTCCGTATTGGGGAACCCTAGATTCAACCTGATTTGCTGACGCAAACTTGTGGTTCTATAAATACCATCTGCTTAAACAAATTTATATTCTCAGATCATGTTAGTTTGTAGTAACCATCATCATGTGCCCGTAAATCTAAGTTAGGCTAATATTATACAAACAGGATCTTTTTGTCCTACAACATTTACATCAATATTCGCGGCCGAGGGATGCTCTAGCTGCCTCTAATTCGAAGGATTACATGAACAACTTTAATTTACCCGAAATAAGTTTGTACGTTCAGGCTTGGCCATCTAACAAAGGTCTCAGGTAATGCCGACCTCTAACTCTGGGGAATAAAGTCGAATCTGGAGGATAGAGTTAATTAATTAGCGTGTCACCAATAAAATAGTAGGAAAGTCCTACGGATGCATGTGGTTCGCTAGACAGACTTTTCCGCTAGATAAGACGGCATTTTCCGTTTTCATCGGAATTCTGTTCAGAGTGTGCACGTTAAGACGATCTGCACGATTTTTGATCGTTATTATTATCGGAAATTTAACTTCAGTACAAGTTTGGTTATCTTTGAGGTCCCCGCAGGTCTGACTTGCTTGATTTTGATTTTCCTGCTTTTTAATATTTATAGGCTGTTAGATTGTTAAAAACAGATATTTTTCATTATTATTGGTCCCGAAGTTAACATATGTATATTTTCTACGTTAAATAGTTTAATAGTTTAATCTTTCATCTTTAAATTTGTTAATTGTTATGGAATTATGACTGTAGGTGGGTGATATCTAAATATCAGTAAGATTAAGTCCAATTGAATGTGTATAACTTAAACTATAATTGGAAGGTATATGGACTGTTTTTTTAAGCGGGCTCCATCGAACCTGAAAATTAAGGATTCCACCCTATTTTAGCCATATTGTCTCATGGCCATGATACTTTCTACATTCTGATTGCATAATGCATATTGCAGATTGCATAATGCGTTTTTATTTATCATCGTT